AAAAATTAAATTAAATGTCGCAATAATTGAAAGGTCCAAATAACGCAGGACAAAAATTTTAAAAAGTCGATGGTCTACTTTTCTAAAGATCAATCAATATATTGAAAACCTAATGTGATGGAAAAATATGATGCTGATTCGGATTCGGAAAGTGATGTGTTAATGTTTTTATTTTATCATGAAAATTCAAATCGAATTGTGTTCTTAATTTGAAAAAAAAAACTCCATTGGTTGTTTTTCCTCTGTTCTGTTCAATTTTGTGTTTCTTGTTATTGATGGTCAAATTTATGACAATCATAGTTTTGTATGGTTGTTATTTTTATTAAGACATTCCACGAAATACGGAATACGTATAACAACGGGACGCACTAAGATATAAAATGTGTTGTGTTGGAGTCTGTGTGCGCAAAGATAAATTTTAAACTTCATTAATACAAGAGCACAATTTTATCAGTTCGACAGAGAGTTGTTCCGAGCATACCCGTAGAATATTTACTTTCTGTCTGTCCGTTTGTCTGTCACATTGCAGCAGCCGACAACACCACTTCTCTGCAGGTTAATGAAAAGAAAAGTGTAAAAACAAACACAGAAGGGCTCCTACAACACAACGTTAATTTTTCCCAAATTTATATATGTATGTATGTTTGCATGTGTAAATGATATTGATGATGCACTGTAAAGATCTTCGTCATGCTTCATTATCTCACCATAGAAGAAATATCTAAAATATTAAAATAAATTATCTGATTCTGACATACATAGCATAGCATAGTATGCCAAAATACCTCAAAGAAGTATTATTGAAATGTTGGGTAATTGAATATTATGTGTTTACTAAAAAAGGTCTGCAATTTAAATGATTACAAACAAGGTAAAATTACAGTAATGGAACTTTTTGTACTCTTCAGAAATCCCGGACAACGCCGTATAAATGATATATTCTGAATGTCTTAGTTTTCAATTCGGATACTTGGAATACATTCCCCGCTCGTTAGTGCCATATAGGTAGTTCAAATTTTATAGATTTTTTAAATGTGTTGCTTTCATTCGTTTTATTTTAGTTTTTTGTTATTTATTTGTGTGTTGTTTAAAATAAAATGCTTTTAACATAATAAGTACATATGTATACACATATATTCACATGTAAAAAATAGGCATGGCTGTATGTTAATACATGTATATAAATGTAATTTGAAAACATCTATATGATCGAAATAGGGATGGATGATGACTGTGTTGGTTTGAGGAAAGGTACCTGTTTCCACTACAAACAAATGTGTTTAGAGTTATTTTGTTTTTGTTATTTTTGTTTTCTTCATTACTTTTGTTTGTGTTGTTCTTTATTTTGTTGTAATTTATATATATGAAAAAAGACATACTGCTGACAATTCTATGAAATTTGTAAAGAAAATAAAAATAAGTTTATTTATGAACAACGTTTATGCATGTGTGTACAATATAGTGTGTACAATATAGTGTGTACAATATAGTGTATACACATATACACCTGATCCTCCCTTTACTCGTAAAAGATCGTTTATGTAAAAGTTACAACAAGTTTGAGTGAGGAAAACATTTCTATTCTGAATAAGAATGTATCAAAATTTAGTTCTTTTAATTTTGATAAAAAAAAAATTTGTGCGATCTTGATGAGTTCCGACTTTTATCAATTTTTTTAGAAAAAGGCTAAGTTTTGTTCATGTAGAGAACGTAGTATGTGGTCATAACTATTTCGCTTATGCTCTGAAAGTATTTCTGAAACGTTCCCAATTAGGTGATATTGTATTAAATTATCTATAACATGTACTTATGTTGAAAACGTCAACCATTGTGTAAATATTTATTACAAATTATTCAAATTAAAAATTTGTAGAGTAAAACGCGGCCTAGTTGTATTTGGTATGTATGTATGTACGTATTTTTCTGTATGTGATCTAAACATCCAGATATACAATATTCTTTTAATCCACTACTGGGCGATTCAAATTAAGTAGCAGACATTTCTGCACATACAATACGAGCAACGAAACAATACAGAAGAAAAATAGAAACTTAAATAAATAAATAAGAAAAGGCATGTAAAAGTAAAGGTAAAGAAATATTGACAGACGGCCAGATAATTAGTGCGTCTGTAGTTGGTGTGTTTAAGCGACGTTCGATTGTGTCAACTAATAACTTGACACATTGCAAATTCTCCATAATTTTACGCATGTCTTTCGGTCTGTTTGTTTGCCTATAGTAAATATGTATATTAGGGTAACTTTTTTTTTGTTTTTTTGGGAATATAGTTTACATTTTATATGTATATCAAATTCAGAATTTTTTTATTTATTGTTTTAAATAAAATTTCCATCACTATTTACATGCATTTTTATTTACATACAGTGTATGTATGTAAATAAATTTTTGACTACCAAACAACCAAACTCGCATTAAAAAAACATTTACTGTTTGATATTTTGTTCTGTTATTCGGTCTGAGGTTCAAAATCCATATTTAATAAATAGCCGGAAGTTTTCCATAAGAAAAAAGACGGTTTATCATCTAAAGAACAAAAGCTTAATTATTGCAATATGTATTTACTTTAGAGGTTTCTCTCCCTCAACGTGTTAGTTGTTAATAATCTAGTTAATAAACATTTGAAAAAATTTATTCTTTAACAAATTTCAGATCTCGAGCTAGTAAAGGTTTTTAAAAGTAAACAAAAGCAACTGATGGAGACGAAAACGTTTTTATGCTGCGCAATTTTTTTCAGTTATGCCATTTTCTGATAAACCGTGTAGATTTCATACATATAGAATCAAATCAACTGTTATACTCCATTTAAATAATTCGATCAGATCATTCGATGTGACGACTTTAAAAGGATTGAGCAGCGCTGACTCCCAGTCTGGCCTTAGAATTTCTCCATCACGTCAAGTTTAAAAACAGATTTTATGTCCTATCACAATCTAGGCCACTATCGGAATTGAAACCATGACCGATGTGGCAGACTAGAACACTAACTATATACAAATCTACCAGTGTTTGGAAAAACTCCTTTTTTGCCATATATGAGATCTTAGCAGCTCGAAGAAATCTTTATTTATACATTTTATGAAGTCGTTTGACTTCTGTTAGATCTTCTTACCTAAAGTTAACCAACGTCTTGAGGTTAAAAATTTATCAATATTTTCAATTATTCAATCAAATAATTTTATTGTTTTCGTCAAGTTTGGGTGTCGTTACAGCCCGCTATTGCTAGAATACCTCAGTTATAACTGTTTAACCTTTACATTGAAAAATAATTTAAGTATATACATATTACAGATAAGTATTCCATAAATTAAAAAAAATATATCACATAGATATTAAATGAAATTTTATTTTAACTTTATATATAACATAACCTAATCCGATTTATTATTTCTAAACATGTATGTATATAAACATTTTTTAATCTTTTAAAGTTTTCGAATTAAATATTAAAAATTTTTCCAATATCTTCCATGCCGCCATAAAGAATACTAAATATTAACTAAATTTAATAAAAGTTTTTTCGAGAAAGGCGTCAAATTCTAATGTATATTTATGCAACTTAAGTGGACTTGTGTGGACTTAAGATTACCCAATTTACATAATAAAATGTATACTTTTCTTTGCCTTCTTACTAACAAGAAAGGGAAATGATTAAAATATAAATTTAAAATATTATAACATATTTATTATTTTGTTCAAAGTATTGAATTTCTATTTACATGGATTTACAATTACCTGGAAATTACAGACCAGATTATTACTATTCAACGAAAACAATCAAAACCATTGAAATTAACCAAACATTATATACGAAATTTGAATGTTATATACGAAATTTGAATGTTAATGAATCTGTTAAACTTATACAATACAAATATATACGATTACAAAATGAATGTTAATAATATTTGAAACTTTTGTATTACTTATTTAAAGAAAAATTAAAAAAAAATTAATCATCATATTTGCCCAAGTTATAAACAAGTCAAGATTTTTAAGTTGTTATTAAAGAAATACATATGAAGGGCTTATTGCTGTAACTCAGTATGCCACAAAATAAAATATTGAGAAAAACGATTTTAAAATTTTAAAAAATTCTAAAATTAGATGAAACTTGTATAAATTTCAGGCCTTATATTTTTCGTTATATAAAATAATTACATTAAAATTTTATGAAAATATTTTTGGTGGGAATGCAGTTTAGCATCGAGTGGCTTATCATATTACAGCAACAGGCCTTCATATGCTAATATTCTAAAATTGCTCAAACGTCTTTAAATAAAGTTAAATGATTTTTTATTATTATGATTATTTATTTCATTTTAAAGTTATCGCCTACACCCATTATAGTCTTATATGTTATTTAACATATAAATAATATACGTGTTTTTAATTGAGGTATTAAAAAATATCATAGATATCGACGTATTTTTAAGTATATTAAAAAATAGAAAATGTGGTAGAAAAAGTGTATTGCATAAATGACATACATATGTAACATCAAGTAAAACGAAGTCCACTATACTTTTAAAAAATAATATCTAATTTATCTATAAAATATTCACCATAATAAAAAATAAAAACTAAGACAATTTTAAATTTGCTATAAAAAGTTCTTTTTAAAGCAAGGCATTAAAGTAATTAAAGTATGTGATCCAAGTTTAATGTTGCAAATTTTTAACATCTTTATTTTGCAATAGATTCCATAGTGCAAAGGTGGAAAATGACTTAATCATTTAGGTATTTAATAATAAAATTTCTTAGAAGAGAGAACCTTTCCCAAGATAAAGAGTATTAAAAAATTTTGTTTCCGTGCGTCGCTAAAATAACCGAACAAATAAAACGTTTTGTTTAAAAACTGATCGATCAGTAAACAACAATTGAAAGCCTCTGCCTGTGATGTTTTTATTTAGGACTTTTCAGCAGTTGTTTTCTGGCCAAATAAAAGCTACATTGATTTATTTATAAAATAGTTAACTTACGCTAGGGGAAAGTATGGCGGCAAAGCGTAAGCATCCATGTCTGCTTTGGATTTAGTTTTAAAATGAAATTCAATTGCTGAAGTGAAATTGTTGATATCACAAAAAACACACACAGTTCTATGTACACATGTAAAAATTTGTTTATTTAACTTTTTTATTTGTTTTGTTGAGATTGAATTTAATTAGTTTTTAATTTTATTGATATTTCATTTGTTATTTTCTGTGTTTTCGTTTTAGTTTTCTACCATTTTATTTATTTTAAATTCATCATCATATATTTTTTTATTCCTTTTATTTAATTACTCTCGATCGATACATATTTGTTTCTGTTGTTGATGTTAAAGAATCTTGTAGTTGACTAACCGCCGGCGTTGTGTTTTGTAAGTAACTTACACATAAATATGAAGATCGTTTTGGTTACAAGGTACCACGAAGCAATGGAACTCGAAAATTATATTTCATTTATAGATACATTTGTTTGTTATGTTATTTGTAATATATTATTTTATAATTATATGTAAAATGGTGATAATATTTTAAATTTAAACAATAATGACTGAAGAAAAATCTATTAAATTAAAGACTTTATTTAAACTTGTTATGACTTTTTTGATCTTTACTATACACACGGAACGGAACGACATGGTATTTTCCGTAAAGTAAAATCATTTATTTTTATAAATTTCTTATTTATTTGTTGTATTTTTACATTGTTAAAAGTAATAATGTAACGAGCAATAAACGCGTGCGTTTAGTAAGTAAGTTATTTCCGTACTAAAGTGTTAATCAAGGATGCATAAGAGCAAACAACTTGCAATGGTTTGCTTAAAGTAGCTAGAGCAGCAGAGAACAAACAACATAAATATGGACGGATGAATATGTATGTTTGTAGATACACACAAACGCACACATTGAAATGCACCGAGAATCCACACACGTACTAAAAAGTAAGCTAGTTGGTCGGACGGTCAGTCGACTGTCGCTCAGTCTTCTAGTCGTTGATCAATAGCAACGTCAAACCATTTAGTTTGTTGATCAAACATTGAGCATTGTACACACATACACACCATCAAACCTTTCAACCGTTTCGTCAAACCATTCAATCTCTCAATTAAGTTCAGTGGGAACAAGCAGCCGTAAAGCCAGCCAGCAAACGAAAAGTAACAACTTAATGATCGTCTTAATACACCAATAACAAGAGGTAAACACGACAGTGCGATCTTACTTACAACATACAGCTCCTCAAATTTATAAACAGTGTTGCCAGATGAACAATTATGATTCTAAAAAAAAAATTACCAAACATTTACCGAAAACCAATTGCAAAACCACATAAAGTATTAAAAGGCGTAATAATAAAATGCCATAATAAATACTAGGGTATTGAATTATTCGGGTTTTTGTATTATGTATTCTGTTTATTTGACAAATAATTATTTGTGGTTTTATGTTAGCCGGTTAATAAGCGGATAATTCGAAATTATTAGGTTAATCGAAAAAAGAAAATTGGATGTTTTTTGTTAATTTTATTGCTATTTTACAATATTTTTGTTTCTATAACAAAACTAAATTATAGTTTTCAACTTCTTTGAGTAAAAAATTTAACATAAAATATAATTTTTTAAATTTTTTTCAAATATTATAACTTATTTCTTCTCATGTGAAATCCTTTTCTATATAAAGAAATTAAGTTAATTAATTTTATGTTTTTGAGATTTTTTAACTAGTTCCAGAATTTATACGTTCCGATGAACTAGTGTACATATAACTATTACCGAAGAACTTTAGAAATACACATCCTCAAAACTGGTTGCAGAAGAAAAGGCAGTATCATTATTTCTAAAATTGCTGTTCAAAAATCTGTTTCTGTATGAACCCATCCATTCTAGAAGTAGGTAAATCAGAACAAATTCTTAAAATGTTTCTAAAGTATGTACATTGAAAAATAATGACATAATAAATAAGGAAGAAAATGTATTTAATTAATATTAATTTTGTATGAAATATACATCAGTTTTGCTAATAAATAGTAAGTTTTTAAATCGGTTAATTGATAGAAATTATTCGCTCTATTCGTTATTTGGAAAAAAATATTCATTAACCTTAGTAAAAATAATTTTTCAACTCAAAAATAATAATAATTTTCCCCTATTTTTCCAAAAAAAAAAAACAACTAAAACGTTTTTTTTTTGCTCAAAAAAAAAAAGCTTAGTTAGACCATTGCCTTTAAGAGCTTTGTGATTACTTAGTGGGATTTTTATATACATATATACATGAATATAAATATGTATATATATATATATATATATATATATATATATATAAATATTATTTTTATACCCTACACCACTTTAGTGGGGAGGGTATATTGGGTTTGTGCTGATGTTTGTAAGGCACAATAATATTTGTCCTATACCCACCTTAAAGTATACCAATCGGTTCAGAATCATTTTCTGAGCCGATTTAGCTATGTCCGTCCGTTCATGTAAACCTTGTAATCAGACTACAGGTCGCAATTTTGAACATAATTCAATGAAATTTGGTACAAGATATTCTATTGCTCCAGGGACGAAGCCTATTGAAAGTGGTTAAGAGCGGTCCATTATTTCCCCTGACCCCCATGCAACTGTACCCCCGAATAGGGCTTGTAAGCCTTGTAATCAAACTACTACTACGCAAATTTTGAGATAATTTAATGAAATTTGGCACATGATCTTTTATGGTACTGTAGACGAAGCCTATTGAAAATAGTTAACATCGGTCCATTATTTCACCTAGGCCCCATACAACTGAACCCGCCAAATAGGGCTTTTAAGTTCATAATTATGTTTAATATACTCGTATCTCGACAAAGAGCTGCAAAACCAAGTTCTATACTAGCCTTGATGATCCTGATGAACTTTATAATTATAGGGCCTCATTTGACCCTAGCCCCTATAAAAAGCCCCCATCAAAATTTTACTTAAATATCCACAGTTTTATTAAATAATAAATGGCTTATGTATATCTGAGGCAAGGTACAATTCAACTTAAATGCTTTATTATGAAAACTGAATTACATTTTATTCGTATACAGGTGTAGGGTATTCTATGGTCGGCCTCGCCCGACTATAACTTTTTACTGGTTTTTCACATGTGCCCCTTGCATCCCACAAACTGAGTAAAAAGGGCTCAAGTTAGAGTGCTATATTCGGCTGAGCCGAATCTTAAATACCCTCCACCAGCTACTTATACATATATTAATACTTTTTTAATTGATCAAATATTTGTAGAAATAAGTTTTCTCATGTCTTAAATAGAAAAACCCCAAGATTGAAACAGCTTAAATCTGTTACAATTCCAAGATTTGTTGAACATTACAAACCCCATTTTCTTTTATATTTTTATAGCGCCCTTAGATATGCTTTAACGATATTTAATAATGTGCATGTATGCATGTGTGTGAACGATTTAAGGATTTTCAAAATACATATATATAATTTTGTTCTACACAAATTGTTTTTAGGGGCAGGACCTAATATGGGAGATATGACCAATTATAGACCGATCGTAAAACATTCTTTAAGCAAAATTTCTGTACATAAAAGCTATATTTCAGTCAAATTTTGTATCTATATCGTAATTTAGTAATAAGTAATGTGTGTTCAAGTGATTTTCTGAAAGGACACTTGCATGGGACCGACGGCACCCTTGTTATGGACCGATCGTGAAAAAATCTTGAAATAGAATTTTTGTATACCAAACTAATATTTGTGTCAAATTTTGTATCAATAGCTTTATTTGGTAATGAGTAATGTGCGTTTAAGAGATTTTCGTAAAAGGACCTTGTATGGGAGCTATGACCAATTATGTATATAAAGACAAAATTTCAAAATTCGGTATCTATATCATTATTTGGCAATGAATATTGTGCATTTAAGTGATTTTCTGGAGGGGACCTAGTATGAGAGCTATGACCAAATATGGACCGATTGCAAAACAATTTTATAGTGTAATTTATGTATATAAGAGAAATATTTGTGCTAAATGTATGGATATCAATATTTTGTAATGAGTTATGTGCGTTTAAGTGATTTTCGGGAGGTGACCTTGTATGGGAGCTACGACCAATTATGGACCGATCAGAAAAAACTTCCATAATAATATTTCTGTATATGTGAGCAATACTTGTACCAAATTTTATAGGGATATCTTAATTTAGTAATGAGTTATGTGCTTTTAAGTGATTTTCGGAAGGGGACCTTGTACGGGAGCTATGACCAATTATGGACCGATCGGAAAAAAAATTCATAATAATATTTCTATATGTGAGAGCTATACTTGTACCAAACTTTATATGGATATTTTAATTTAGTAATGAGCAATGTGTGTTTAAGTAATTTTCGGGAGGGGACCTTGTACCAAATTTTATATGGATATCTTGATTTAGTAATGCGTTATGTGCGTTTAAGTGATTTTCGGGAGGAGACCTTGTATGGGAGCTATGACCAATTATGGACCGATCGGAAAAAAATTTCATAGTAATATTTCTGTATATGTGAGCAAATACCAAATACCAAATTTTATATGGATATCTTAATTTAGTAATAAATTATGCGCGTTTAAGTGATTTTCGGGAAGGGTCCTTGTATGGGAGCTATGACCAATTATGGACCGATCGGAAAAAAATTTCATAGCTAAATCGACTCAGAATTTCATAACGACCCAGAATATATATACTTTGTTGGGTCTCAGATGAATATTTCTTGGTGTTACACACGGAATGACAAAGTTATATATACCCTCTGTCACCACTGATGGTGGTATAAAAATTAAACAAAATTATTTAATAACAAGGTAGAGAGCTATTTTCGGCTGAGCCGAATATTAAATACCCTCCACCAGCTTCTTTTATATTAATAACCTTTTAGTTAATCAAATATTTGTGGAAATAGGGTTTCTCATCTTTTCTAATACAACAAGCAAAGATTTAAATATTTTAAATTTGTTACAATTGCAAGTTTTTTCGCAGCATTATAAGCTCTATTTTCTATAATATTTTATAGCGCCTTAAAATATGCTTTAAATATATTTAATAACTTCCAGGTATGCATGTGTGTAAAATATTTAAGAAAGTTTAGATATGTATACTGTTGTTCAGAATTTGTTTATACTAAATTAATTTTACTAAACAAATTACAATTAATTATATACGGTTAACATTTTTTACAAAAACATTTCTGTATATAGCTATTTGGTAATAAGTGATGTGCACTAAATGATTTTCGGAAGAGGCTTTGTATGGGACCGATCGGACCCATATTATGGACCGATCGTGAAAAAAATATAAAATAATATTTTGTATACACAAGTAATGTCTGTGTAAAATTTTGCATGGCTATCATTGTTTGGTAATGAGTAATGTGAATTTAAGTGATATCTGGGAGGGGACCTTATATGGGAGCTAAGACAAAATATGGGCCGATGGTGAAATTATTTTAAAATATAATTTATGTAAACTAAATTAATATTTGTGTTAATTTTGTAAGGATATCATTATTTGGTAATGATTTATGCGCGTTTAAGTGATTTTCTGAAGGAGATCTACGGGAGCTATGACAAAATATGTACCGATTGTGAAACAATATTAAAATTACATTTTGGTTTACAAAACTAATATTTGTAGCAAATTTTGCATAGAAATTTTACAGTAAAAATAAAAGCAATATTGTATGGGAGCTATGACCAAATATGGACCGATCATGAAAAAATTTTACAGTATCATTTCTGTATATAAAGGCAATATTTGCGCAAAATTTTGTATGGATATCATTATTTGGTAATGTACAATGTGCGCTTAACCGATTTTCGGGAGGGGACTTTGTATGGAAGCTACGGCCAATTATGGACCGATTCAGAACATTTTTCCTCTATGAACTCAATTGACATAAAACTTTTACTTGTAAAAGTTTGTGAAGATATTGTCATTCTACAGGAAATTATTAACAACTAATGCATTTTCCGGGAATATGTACATTTGTATGGGAGTTATATGAAGATGTGGACCGGTTCCGCCCATTTAACAGAAATTAAGCTTTCATATGGAAAGAATTGTGTGCTGATTTTTATGGAATTATATCGCATAGTTTTTGTGAAAATTGTATTAGAATGTGTTAAAAAAAGCTTAATTTTTTCGGTCAGTTCTCCTGT